CAAAGACTCCTTGTGAAAGCGGGAGTCAACAAAGGGTCTAATGGAAAGAACATAACGCCTACCATGCGATATTATTATTATTACAAGATGTACGTCGATTGCCAACCTCAATTCTTGTTTTTTTTTCACATTCCGCTTTCCAAACCCACAATCTTCTAGCCCCTAACTTCAGTTCTTTGGATTTTAGAGAGTACAGTCAACTAAGTTCGAATTAATTGTAGCTGAAGAGAATTTCGACAATGCAAGCACTACCATATATAAACCAAACACGTAGAGAGACTTCGGTTGACGTCAAACGCAAAGCCGTACATATCCACATGCCCCACCGATAATGCAAAATCGCCCTCTGCAAGCTCACACAGTAGTCAAATGTTTCCTCCAGCACACACATGGTCTATAATTGCAGGAACATTTTTGATAATTTGAAAAGAGACATTGGCGTTTTTCGTCAACGACATACCCATACAATTGCCCTTAGCAATTACAAAAAAGAGAGATACACAAATGGGACAAAAACATTTAAATATGCCTTGATTCAGTCATTACCACAAGAAAGCCTGTCACTTCTTGGCAAAGAAACTCGTTAAAGACTTTGAGCCCTGAGCTTTCTTTAGTAGCTTCGATTGGGCAGTTGAACGCGTCTAAAACAAAATAGTCATTCAAATAAGAGCTTCAGGAGCGATAACAAACCGAAACCGTCTTATTAGCATTAGTCAGTTTTGAATAGTCTTCGGTAGGCCCGGTAACATCGGAATTAGATAATCTGGGCTTCTTTGCAACAACAGACTCCTCTTGAAAATTTTCCTTAGAGGCGGTTGAAATAGTAGTTAAGCCCAACGAAGTAAACAGTTTTTCAATGAGTTGACTGGGAAGTTTATCTGCAACAATCTGGAACGCTAGATTTTGAAGAGTTGAAGTATCTAAATGTCCCTCAGCCAGCGTTGACGCAGCTACGGAATCTAAGAAAAAATTAATAAGTAAACCATGCACACCTTCTGCATAAAACGACGCAACACCTGAATCCCCACTAGAGGCTGATAATACAGCACGCAATTGCAGAGCTTGACAAGAATTTGTAATTTCCCTAGCAGCCACACAGATTCTATCGACTCCATTCTTAAGCCAATCAATTAACTTTTGCTCATTCAAACGAAGAACTTTTAACCCACAAGTTTCTAATTAAAAAATAAATCACCTTTAATTCAGACAAACCTTTGGAATCGCAAATTGAACAAAGTTTATCAAAAAGAGAATCAGAAAATAACTCTTGAACATCAGGAGACTCATCTGATCTCAGGAGAACATCCAATGTTGTAAACTTGTCCATATTTAGAAGCGCAGGCAGAAATAGAAAGACGGGATTGATTGGTGAAAGAACAAAAATATCACCACCTAAGAATGACGCAAGTCAGAGGATGAATATATATTACACTGGGAGACTTGATTGTTAATAAATAGAGACCGCTTTGAAAGACTAATTTTTTGCATCTCAAAAATGATCCCAGAATCAACTGAAACTATAAAAATACATTTCTTCTCTATCAATAATAGGTTATAAAAAGAGAGTACCTGTTCTAGGATGCAAAAGACGAATGCACTTGGACATCCGTAATTTATCATTCAGTGAGCCTAAAATATTACTAATTAAATGGATAAACCTGCAGATATCAATAAGCGTAGATGATTCATTGCCAAGTAAAATTCAATTAATGAAGAAGAAAATATAGGCACAAGAAATTTAAAGTTCCTGTCTTGTCAAAATTTCGCAGATAGCGTCAAGGTTGCTTTAGACCACTTCGAAAAAATCCTTAACACCATTTTAATACAATTAAAATTAAATTGAAAGTTAAAAAAACAAATTATGCTTAAAAATAACTAAATATGAAAATTTATAATACCGGGCAGAGCAAAGATTAAGAATACTGTAAATTTAAATAATTTAATGCTAGTTATATGATTGAAAAAATATTTTTTAGATCATTTTGACTTATTTATTTTGTCTTTTAACGTTACTAGCGGCACATTTGAGGGGCTCTGCTTTTCTTTCGATGATGTCTGGTTTCAGAGTTCTTAGCATATTGGTATTGATATCATACTATTCTGCCTTTGTCACTGCCTTTCCCGAAATTGGGCATTGGGAAGTTAATACTCCTGTGGTATTGAATTAAGTTTTAATATATATTCTTTGTAGAATACCGATTTATGTTTCCCCAAGTCTGTCTTTGAGGATACTGACATCAATTTTAAAAGTATTTTCTTTGTTAATCTAATTCAAAATTTAGTTCTTTGTAATAAGGCTGTTAAATTGCGACTATCATTCTCTATTTACTGGTCAGAGTGTGCTAATGCATTTGCTGATTTTAAGCAGGTAATATTTTCGCTTCTTTCCATTGCCTCTTTAGACAATAAACAACTCACAACTAATGATCGAGATATCTTCTTATTTTAAACCAGACTCTATTTTTAAAATGGAGAACCTGACTTTTTGTAACCCTGACCAACCAGTAGTATTTGGAACAAAAATTTCAAGAGCTGGCACCCAAATGACTGTTCTATATGTGAACTGTCAAGATCCAAAAAATTGTGCAGGAATGATTGATGGTAACTCGGTCTTTTTTTACCTTTGCTCTTTCTAGTTCATGTTACTACTGATATTAAAAGCAGTTATGGTTACCTTTCGGCTATTGAATATCCACTTCGAACTGTAAGAGTTGTCGACATTCCCAAATTATCGTTTAGTTTTACGGAATACTGTCTCTCAGTTATGCTCTCTTGGGTGTTCTATGGCTTTGCTTCACTGTCTGTCATTGGAAAGATCTTTTGAGGATACAATACTATATTTCCTTGATGATTTTCATCGGCCTTGTTGAACAGATAACCCTCTATGGTCTCTACGAAGCTCTTAATCGAACTGGTGTTACTCTTAAAAGTGCTTTGGCATTCGCTATTGTTGTTAGCTGTTTAAAGCGAACTTTGGCTCGTTTCCTCATTCTTATTGCCTGTGTTGGGTGAGTGCTATATTGGTTATTATTATTCCCCACTTTTAATTTAGTTATGGTATCACCAAATCTCGACTGGGTACCGCCTATCGGCGTATTATCTGGATCTGTGTGTTATACCTTCTGTGTTGCTTAATGGACAGTGGTCTTCGTGCTTTGCATCCACGTTTCAAGCCCTCTTTATGGATTCCTCTTGTCGGTTTACCGATGATTACTGTTGACTTAGCGATTCTCTGGTGGAGCTTTTCGTACCTTGTTTCAACTCTCCGTGAAACGAGAATGCGAAGAAATAAGGTCAAGCACCGTCTTTATCGCATTTTCTCAGCTCTTCTTATTGGCGTATCAGTAGGTTAGTTTGTCTCCTTAAGTCGTTTTTAAATGGATGCCATTAGGTGACATGTTGATCTTTTATTACCTTTTGTTTTAGTATCGGTAGTATGTATGTGTGTGTCAATCTTTCTGCTTCACTGGAAACCATGTACTAAGGTGAGTTTTAACTTTTATGACTGTCGCCATCTCAATAGGTGGGTTAATTAACTGGCCCTTGGTTTCACTGTTTACTTCGGTGTCTTAAATTACATGACTTTTAGTACTTTTCTGCTGCTTTTTTTAAAAATTTAAAGTAGTCATTCCTCTGTCCTTGAATAATCAGAAACGTCTACTTTCGAGTGGAGAAATGGGGCGAATGCCTTTTTCAACCAAAGCTCTATTCACTGTCTATTTTCTTAATTTAGTTGGACAAATGAATGAATGGTAAATGAATTTTCAACTTCTTTCCTGACTTGAGTATTGAGTTAATTGAGTTAAATGATTTTCTTAACACCAGATTTGAAGGCAACTGAATTTAGATTTACAGGTTCTGCATTTGGCTTGATGGAAGAATATGTGAAAATGATTTTTTTTATTGTCTCCTGAGAATCAAAAGTGCTTTTTATATCCTGGACATCTAATTTTATGTTTTTTTTGAAAGAACCCATTTAAGTTACTATTTCTATTCGAATGAGACTTTTATTGTGACAGGGGATAACGTTAAAGCGTCTTTGTTAAACTGATGACCCCTCAGTTTCCACACTCAGAGTTAAGAAGAAGAATGCGAGATTAATGACTCTTATTGCCAGATCATATTCTTACTTTGTTTCAGCGACGACTGCACCGGGGTTTTCCAAAAGTACGTCCATCCGAATAATTCGCCACGGGTGGTTATTTGGTTCCAAAGATAATTTCTTGAAATGCAAATTTCCATTTAACCGCCCTGGGTGCATTCTCAGAAAACCCCGGTACTAATTTTAAGCTGAGTCAATTACATTCCAGTAGAATTACTTTATCTACAGATTAGCTAAGCTTTTCTATTTATATTTATATCAAATGGGAGGCGTCTTGATGGTTATCATTAGCCTTTTAGCTGGCCTCCGACTTCACAAAGGGGAGGAGGAACATTAAAATTAGAAAAAGTCGAGTTGTGGACCAGAAGAGTGATTCAAAGATGTAAAAGAGACAGACACAAGGGTAGAAAAAAGGTGAGGTGAGTACTGTGGAAGTAGTCGATTATGACATTCAGTGGGGTGATGGTAGCTTGGAGTCAGAAATCAACTGCCGTCTGAGTATACGTTACCCAGCGTGCACCACGTGGAGGTAAGTCTATCGCACACCCCAGCTAAGCTTTTCTTAGTGCTACGTTCCATTAATTTCTGGTCCAAATCCTGGGTCTGTTCGTTAGGTATGTGTTTAGTGAGACAATTTGATGTAATCTGTTTTTTTTTATTATTTCCCAACAAATACTTAAATTTTCTGAGGAGTTAATGTACCTCTTCTCGAATCACTGGATGGCCTACTACTAACATCTGGGAAAAAAAGGCTGTACATTCGGAGTTATTTTGGATTTTCAGGTAGTGTCGATTTCTTGTCCTACTCTCGTGTTTTTTTTAAATTAAAGCCTTTTCATGTGTATAAACTTCCCGGTTCTATGCATCCACTTTAACTTGCTGTTGCGCGATTGACCTTAGTAACACCCTAATAACCTTGCATCAACTTGGTAATGTGGGTAAAATTAGTAGACACATACATTTCTGTTCCCATAATTCTCTGTCTCTTATTGAAAGCAGATATCGTTCGGTATGATAACCTCCCTCTCCACCCCACCCCCCACCCCTCCCAAATGGTCAATTCTAGCTGTCTGTAAATATTGAAGCACTGACCTTTGCTACGAGGGATTTGTACGTGTTGGATTCTCTTTAAATTTAATTTGAGAACTTCACCATTACTCCCATTGAATTGTTCTTTTTCATGAATTAGAAAGTGAAATGAATTGAAAAACCAAGCGGAATATTTTCGGTGCGCGCGCCTGAAGGACGTTCACGGGATTCATCGGTTGTGTACTTTTCTTCTTTTAAAAGTTTTCTAAGAGGGGGTGGGAGGGGTTGGCTAGTGATCGCTTACTCCTTAAACTATTAGAGGATTTAGAATGCCATTGTTTTGGAAGTTCCAAATATCCATAAGTATGGGTATCTGATGTGCCATTGAAGTTCATTTCATTTGTAATAGAGTGGTTCGTTTTTTCGTTTCTTCTGAAACACTATAGGAGTGGTTAATAGGGCCTTTCATTAAATTTTGGTTGTGCACTAGAGAGTAATAATTATGTGTTTGCAGGAGGTCTCGTAAACACTAGCATAATTTTTATCATAGAGTCAACTTCCATCTGAGCACAATAGTCACCTGTATATATATTACATGGTTGGATTACAAATTTTGTTACCTCTGTTAACACGATCTTTATCTGCGCTGTTAAAAAATGATCAGCCATGTTAGTTCAACTATTCTTGACTGCGTTACATAGTTCCGATTACTTCTGTAAATCACCTGGATTCTTTTTTTTCACTTGCTCAAGTCGTGTGGGATTAATTTTTAAGGAAGGAATGAAAAGTGGCTGGCATTGGCTCGATGTGTGAGTGTTGGAATACGTTTTTCTTAAATAATAATTTTGTTTTTGAATCAATTAATTTGCCGATTTAGTCGTTTGAAGCAGTCACTGCAGCTTGTTTTGATCTCTCTCTCTCTCTTCTATGGTAGGTGGACTTTGCACAATCTGCTTTTTGGGACATCCACCAAGAATTAACGACTTCTAATTCCACTTCCTTGTGGATGGGGGTTCCACGTCTTAATGAAGTGGTATTGACTACTTGCATATTCTTACGTTTTTCTTGCACTTTATTTTCTATTGGCATGATTTTGTGGGACCTCTTTCTCTTCCCATCTCCCCGTTATCCTACACATCCATCGGTGTCTGGACTCGCGGGGGGGTGGGGGGTGGGGTGGGGGTGGGCCTTAAAATACGCCTCTCTGCCCATTCATTGATTGGCTTCAACAGTCCCCCCCCCCCAACCCCCTACCAAATGCTATTTCATAAACAAGTGAGATTTATGTTGCGATGAATGCTTCGGTTTAAATGTTTGCTCATTTCACTTTTAATTTTAATTCGTGTTTAAATGCTGGAAATGTGTTCTCTGTCAGTTTAATAATAATAATAATATTAGCCGAATGGAACAATTTTGATAGGCTTATTTTTTACCAATCAATCTGTTTTAAAGGAGGAATGGCGTTGCTGTTTGAATATGCGATTCTGGTCTTAAAAGCTGCCTTTATTTTGACTAAGCAATTTCTCCAAAACAGTCTCTTTCTAAGTTTGAAATCACAAAAATTGTACCAATAATTTATTTATTTATACCAAATGGCAGCCGTCTTGACAGTTATCATTAGCCCTTTAGTTGGCTTCAAGCTTCACAGGGGGGGGGGGTACAGAAGGGTGTTTCGAAGATGTAAAAGAGGCAGACACAAAGGTAGAAAAAGTTTAGGTGAGTACTGTGGTAGTGGTCGAATATGACATACAGTGGGGTGATGGTAGTTTGAAGTGAGAAGTCAATTGCCAGTTAATTAAACTTTTTGCATCACACGGAGGTAAGTCCATCGCACACCCCATAACAATAATAGTAATTGCCAATTGCACACGAGGCAATTGAGATGGATGAGACAGTGCAGTAACTACCAATGTTGCCCCATTCATCTTGAACGTCTCCCAGGAATTGTTCTATGCATTCTCTTCTGTCACGTGATACACTTTTGTGCTCAAAATTCCATATAGTGCATCGAATGGAAGAAAGGATATTCACACGCCAAAAAAAGTCTATTAACCGGCAGTTGACTTCTGACTTCAAACTACCATGACCTCACTGTATGTCATAGTCGACCAATTCTACTGTATTCACCTTACCCTACTCTCTATCATTGTGTCTGTCTCTTTTACATCTGCAAATCACTCTTTGGTCCACCCTCTTGAACTTTGATGTTTCTCCCCTCTGTGAAGTTTGAAGTCAGCTAGTGGCTAATGATAATATGTATATATATATATATATATATATATATATATATATATATATATATATATATATATATATA